CAATCGGCACACGGTGCAAAACGATGCAGAAACGTCACAAACCGGCACAAAAACAACAACAAATACGTGTTTCAGTGCAGATCTTAAAGGGATAGGAGATGTGAAAAGACCATTAACTACGATAAAGCATTGTCTCCAGGCTTTCGCCCAATCTGCAGCCCAAAGCACGGAAAATGGGATATGGCACGATGACCACCTAGGTAGCAATTGAGTTGACCAGGATTGGTCCGGACTGCCCCATGGATGAAGCATGATGAAAAGGTTCATGACAAATGGAGGGCTCATTGTTACTAATCATCATCATCAGGTCATTATATAACCCAACAAATTGACAGACATATATAAATATATATATATATAGAAATATATATATACATACACAATTCAGTAATTCACCAATGGACAAGCAAACAACACAACACAACTGGTCACACATGACATGTTAACAAGGAATTTGATGAACCACCACACCTCGAGCAGTTCAACACAACCGCCTCCAAAAATACGAAGGAACACCCAAACCACAATGGACCACAATTTTTAAAACGTAAGTAAAAACTACTAACCTACCCTGATCTGGCCTGATCTACCACGACGTGTCCCGGTTTGGCTGCCAGCATGCCTTCAAGGAATGAAAATGCTTGTCATGAACTAACTGATTAGGACCATCCCTTTGGTGTCACCTTTCCCACCATCGACATCCCTCCACATTCCTCAAAATAACACGTTCTCGGTCTTCAATCGCATGCGCACCTCAAAAAGTCTCTTGGATGGTTTGCATTCCAAATGGACTGGTCTATCCAACTGGCCCTCCGCTCGGCCAAATGCGGTTCTGCCACGTCGGCGGTCTGCAGCTGTTGCACCGGGATCCGGCGCAGCTGGCCGCCGTCGGCGGCCGCCAGCACGTGGAAGGCCTTGGGTGGGAGGAACTTCTGGATCTCGTCCTGTGGGAGGTCGAGTGTTCCGGTGGAAACTCGACTGACAGTGTTCCGGTGCGGGGATTTAGCAATCCCCAACGAGTTCAAACATTCGCATGCTGAAACGATAATATGTGCATATTTCTTTCCAGTGAGCAACACAAGTGGTAGGCGAAACTTCATCATGCTTCACAATGTTCATAATAGCAATATAAATATATATAACTGTAATTTCAATTTTGACTCTTTGACTACCTATTCTCCACAAATAACAAGGTGATCTGAGGTAACCAGGTAAGGTCAAGCTGTTCAACAGGAATCCTTCAGGAAGGTACACCATCAGAACTCAACTTCTAGTTTCCCGAGTCAACTATGCCACAATATGCTTGATCTGTTCATGGAAACACCCAGGTCCTGGTTTCTTCTTGGATTAGAAGGAAGCACATACCATTTGAATGGAGTGTGGCATTTTGTGGCATTCCACACTGAAATCAAGCACCACCCAGAATCCAGGCGCGTGTTCCCTGCAGCCCAAGCCCGGTTGGTCCTGCCATTGTTGCCAAAGGTTTGGCGGCATCATGATTAAGGTCGCCCGTGAAGGTAGCAGCTGTCTAGGAGGCTTTGGCAGATCGACCAGGTCCGCGCATCGCAAGTGGTCCATCAAGGCCAAGGTGATAGTGGTTTTTCCTTGTCTTGTCTGTGGTGAAACCGATGGGACAAAAGGAATTCCCAACCTGAATGTGTTTCATGTTTCAAAAAATAACCTGGCAAAATCACCAAAATGGTCTGTCCCTGTGCTTCAGACTGGGCTCCATATCCAATGCCATCGGCCAAAATCCCTCCTCGAATTCCTCCAGCTTTCTCCCTTGCCAACATCCACCCCAAGCTCCGGAGCTGATAATCAAACAAGGGGAGTGCTGCTCGGAAGTTGGGCGGCTGCTTCGCTGGCGGATCACCTTGTTTTTTGGAACGCGCTGGGCTGGAATATGCAAATGCAAAATATTCGTGGCCTTTCCAGCAGTTCACCTCCCAAACATGAACGACAGTGCACGTGGATAATCACAAATCCCATGTTCTTGCATGTTTGAGCCAGTTGGAGCCCTGTGATGTGGATCTTGGCTCGCAACTCAGCTTAGGTCCAAGGATGCCTTCTTCAAGCGACATGGACTCTATCGGAAGCAGGTTGGAAACATGACGATCCAATATTGAAAAGTGTTCTCGGTTCATGTGCAACTGGTTAACCTCAAAACATTCATCGGCCCAACATGTAACGCAAACAGCAAAGCTGCTCATTGCCCTCTTTCGTTGAAAAAGAAGGAATCCACCAATTGAAATCAACAAAGCATCAATAATTCGTCTCCATATAAAAAAAACCTGATAGAACCCACGAACCCGAATGCAGTCACTTTGTATAGAAGCGTAGCAGTCAAGGCGTTCTTGTTTTCGGAGATGACTCGCAGAGTCATCAACTAAAGCAGCGCCAGCACCTCCCCAGCCGCAGCACCTGACGCACTTTTGCTTCACACTTTTGCTGGACACTCTTACTTTACACTCCCGCTTGCCACTGACACTCTTTCTTGA